TACTGGCGCCTTCTCTCCTCCGCCGCCTTGAAGTAGATTTGAGGAGCTGCCCTTCCTCCCCCCCTCCCCCCTTCCCGCTGGTCCTTTGGCATCTTCCAGACCATGTCCACTGGGTCCCTCAGTGATGTGGAAGATCTGCAGGAGGTGGAGATGCTGGAGTGTGATGGCCTGAAAATGGATACTAACAAAGAGTTTGGGGCATCCACCGAGAGCAACGAGGAGGGATCCAATGGCGAGAATGGCTCCCCTCAGAAGGGGAGAGGGGCCTCGGGCAAGAGGAAAAAAGCTCCCCCCAAGAAGAGCCCTTTAAATGGAGTGAGCCAGGAGGGAAAGCAGGTCCAGAGAAACGCTGCCAACGCCAGGGAGAGGGCAAGGATGAGGGTCCTTAGCAAAGCCTTCTCCAGGCTTAAGACCACCCTGCCCTGGGTGCCCCCAGACACCAAGCTTTCCAAACTGGACACCTTGAGGTTGGCCTCCAGCTACATCGCTCACCTGAGGCAGATCCTGGCCAATGACAAGTACGAAAACGGCTACATCCACCCAGTCAACCTGGTAAGTCATGGCTCGCCGGGGCCAGGCACTCTGTGTGCATGTGCATGGGGAGAGGCAGGCGAAGAGCTGGGACGGGGCGTGTGCGGGGAGAAACTTTGACTGCGCTTCTCACGGAGTCTGGTGCCAGTGGGGTGGCAAGAGGTATTTGTGCGAGGGGACAGGCTCCCAGCTGCCCTCCCGCCCTGTGCCCCGAGAGCTGAGCATCCCGGGCCCCATCCGCTGCTCCTGGCAATCCCCCCCCAGGGGACAGGCAGGGGCCACGGTGGCCTCAGATAGGCAGGGACAGGCTTTTCTGCCCCAGAAATGCCTGAGAAACCTCAGCAGGTTGATGGCAGCTTTCTACCTGCAAGCAGGCGGGTATAGGAATTTGGGTAGAGAAAGGTATGTTTTAGGAAGGACCCAAGCCAAAGACCCAGGATTTGTTCTTATCCCTCCTCTCTATCCTGCCATAATAATCCTCAAGCCCTAGCTTTTTAAAGACAGAGCGCTTGGGGCTCTGTGCTCAGCTGCTTGGATTTACTGGGTCCAGGGCGTTTCTCCTATCCATGTAAACTGGCAAAGCAGAAATAAATACCAGTGCAGACTCCCCAAGGGGGGTGTCTGCCCCAGGCACACTCCACAAAGCCTCCCTGGGCTGCAGGGCGTCCCTCCTGCTGCTCCCACCACCCACAGAAAATTTTCCCGAGCAGCCCGGGGTCTCCCCGCCATACCCGGCCGTCAGAAACATCCAGTTTCCAGCTCAAAAAATACGTGCAACTGATGCAAACCAGGGGTGGGCTAGATCTGCCTGGGCTCTTTTTAGACATACAGCCTTTACGTTGCCCCCACGTGCGGACCCCGCCGGATAAAGGGATGGCAGAGGGGATCTGGGGACGTTTCTCTGGGGTCTGGCTCTGCCTTTTGAGCTCTGGACTCTGGGGGAAAGTACCTTACCCACCGTGCCATCTGATAAGGGCCTGGGAGATACTTTTTTGGCTAAGAACAAAATCCTCAGCACAACAACATGGGAAAAAAATAAAGTAAAACAAACCCAACACCCAACCCAGACACACACCGCCACCCCCCGCACAGAGGCGCACCAAAACTTGCCCCCCGAGCCGCG